AATTTACTGATAAGCAAACTGCAAATAAGAGACAACAAAGGAACTCTTCTGACCACCAAAATGTAAAGAAGATAAAATAAAAGGGGCAAATAAAACAAGAGATGAAAAGGAACTCTACTGACGATCAAATTGGAAATAGAGACAAAAAGGGACTCTACTAACGAGTAAATTCAAACAAGAGATGAAAAAGGACTCTATTCACCAGTTAAATCAAACCACAGAAAAAACTGCAAAAAGGAACTCTACTGACGAGCAAATTAAAACTAGGGATAAAAAGGAACTCTACTGACAAGCAAATCGAAAACAAAGGATAAAACCGGACTCTACTGACGAGCAAATTGTAAACAAGAAATAAAAGGGACTCTATTGACCAGTTAACTAAAACAGAGAAAAAACTGCGAAAAGGGACTCTACTGACGAGCAAAATGAATCAGAGACAAGCACAGCTAAATATTGTCTTAAGACCGAAAGGACTCTACTGACGATCAAATTAAAATAAGAGATGATAAACTTAAATACACAATGGGACTCTACTGACGAACAAACTTAAATACAGACAAAAAAATTAAACGTTCACTTGAATAACAAAAAGGACTCTACTGACGAGCAAAATAAATTTCAATAAAAACAACAAACAAAAAACTATGTTTTATAGTTTTTGGTCAAAATCGAAAAATTGCTCCCAAACAGTCACTTTATAAACACTTCATCGTACATAGTTACTTGAAGATGTCCATTAGAATGTACTTATCTCGGGCTATTTTCACGTTTTTTCTTCAAAAAATCATTTTTTCTTTACACTTTATTAATAATCGCATGTATACGTTCATAGTTTTTGACTCGTAACTTCTAAACTAGTAATGTAACCTCTAAATGGTCTTCGGGTGATCAGTAGCTAATAAAATTCTGTACAAACTTTTCTTTGGCCGTACTTCCGTACCTTGAATATTTATGGTATAAAAACGCTGTCGAAAATTAGCAACTTATTATAGTGACTTGTATACTACATATAGTACAGCTGGTTAAATATGAGTTAAACAGTTTTACTTCAAATGTAGGCATGTTGGGTATCAAATGAAAGGTCTCGACGAGCACTATCCAAATACTGTAGTAAAAGACACGATAAGTCAATAGGTTTGCATCCACGGCATTTATTCAATTTTTAATATAGGTTTTTTAAATTTTAAACGTACCGAGTTGCTGTAGAGTATTCCCACATTTGACCACAATACATATATTCTAATTTTGCAAAATTTCACCGAATGTTCCATTAATCTCGGACAAACGGTTCAAAAGTTACAAGACATTTAATATAAGGTTGACCAATGGGTTGCGGAACAGTGGGTCAAAACTTTGTAAAATCAAATATAGGCATGTGGGGTATCAAATGAAAGGTCTCGGCGAGCATAACACAAATTCATAGTAACGTCACAAATAAACTAATAGGGTTGCGTACAAACTATTTATTTCAATTCTGAAGCCATTGTTTTCTAATTTTAGTGTATACTAACTTGCTGTAATGTTTCTATACTATACAATATTATACATAATTTAATTTAGCACATATTTGTCGAATATTCTATTCATCTCCGTCAAACGGTTCAAAAGTTACAAGACTTACAATAAAAAGTTATAAGAGATGTAACAAAAGTAGACCATTGGGTTGCAGAAATCCAGGTCAAACATGAGTTAAGAAGTTTTACTTCAAATATAGGCATGTGGGGTATCAAATGAAAGGTCTTGAAGGGCTGAATTCAAATATCGTATATACAGGTTTGCTAAGCCTACAGGGTTGCGTACAAACAGCATTTTTGGCATTCAATTTTTTAAGTTTACTTCTCTGGCTAATTTACAAAACACTGTGTGACATCAAAACCTCAGACTGGTTATTTTCGAACAAGTTTGCCTAATATTCCACTCAAATTGGTTACAAATAATAATTAAATCACATGTTATTTTCTCTCGCGTATAGATGGCGTTACTAATTTTCCCATAAAGACCTATATCGATGCAGCGATTTAAAATCGTTTCATGTTTTTTATTTTAACTAATGACAATGTATTTTTAATCGACGCCAGTTATTTTAAATTGCCGCTTTTAATTTGGGCGTCAAAAATTCTCTCTGTGACGTCCAGTTTTAGTAATTAGTGATGTTAATGGACATTTTTATCGATACTGATGAGCAGAAGGGGAATGAAATGTGTATTTGGTGTAGAATATTTTTTTAAACATTTTTGTCATGGTTTTTTCATAATTTTCATTATTACTTTAATATTTGCTATCCGCAAACTCCTTATAATTAATGTCAGTTGTGTCCCTTTCTTGTAAATCTTTCTTAAATAGATTGACATTGAATTTAGTAGAGTTGTTTTTAAATTATTTGCTTTTTCATCACAAGATTATTTATAAATTAAAATTTATTTTTCTGATCAGTGGTGTTCTTTTTTTTCTTTCAATAATGATTGCTCGTCAGTAGAGTCCCTTTGTACTTTTAAATAGTGCTTGTCTCGTCAGTAGAATCCCTTTGTCCTTTTAAATCGTGTTTGCTCGTCAGTAGAGTCCTTTGTCCTTTTAAATCGTGTTTGCTCGTCATAGAGTCCTTTTTTTGTCTTCAAATCGAGCTTGCTCGTCAGTAGAGTCCTTTGTCCTTTTAAATCTCTTTGCTCATCAGTAAATTTCCTTTGTCCTTTCAAATCGTGTTTGCTCGTCAGTAGAGTCCCTTTTGTCCTTTTAATCGTGTTTTTGTCGTCCGATAGTCTTTTTACATTTTTAAATCGTGTTTGCTCGTCAGTAGAGTCCCTTTGTCCTTTTAAATCGTGTTTTCTTGTCAGTAGAGTCTTTTTACATTTTTAATTCGTGTTTGCTCGTCAGTAGAGTCCCTTTGTCCATTTAAATCGTGTTTGCTTGTCAGTAGAGTCCTTTTTTCACTTTCAATCGTGTTTGCTCGTCAGTAGAGTCCTTTTTTGTCTTCAAATCGAGTTTGCTCGTCAGTAGAGTCCTATTTTACATTGTTTTTGCGTTTGTCATCAGAAGGTGTTTTATAACGTAGTTTTAATTTAATTTTTTTTATATTCTGGTATAAAAATTAAACAATTTATTATTATTGTCGTCATAGTAGACATACTGAACATAATTTGTGTAAGTTGCAAGTTTTTAGTACGAACGGTGCGCCCTGCAGAGCTTTCTAAACATGACAATCTCCTACATATTACATTTGTTTTGTTCGGGGACATTTCTAAAGAATTATTATTTTCTTACAATTTAGTACAAAAATTATCAATTTAGTATTTGTCGTCATAGTAGACATAATGAAGTATAATTTGTGTAAGTTACAAGCCGGTAGTGCAAACGGTGCGTCCTGCAGATCTCTTCAAAAACTACTTTTTAAACGATTTAAATTCTTTTCCCACTTGACAGTCTTTTATAATTACATTTCCCCAGAGAGAGGGCTCTGTGGGAGGGTGCACAGACCAGGTGTAGGGGTAGGGGTGGGGGGTTTGTTTTGGATCCAACACAAAAAGATTCATTTCCGGTGTGGCAAAAACTTCCGACCGACCGAGTAGTACGACGAGTA